ATTTTACACTTAGCTGTTGGGACTTTCACGATGGGGGTTGGTGGGGAATATTTAAGTTGATTGCAAATAAATCAACAATAATAATAAAGACAACAAACTGTTGACAAAAAAAAACCGACAACACTAGAATATATTTTGCTACTTATATTAGGAAGTAAATAAAATCTGAGTGAAAAAATACTTCAGTATTTATTTATTACAGAATAAACAATACAATATTTGGCTAATAAAATGCAAAATAAACTATATATTTGAAGCAAAGAACCTGGAACATGGAATAGAAATATGATGATCTATATTGAAACTTCAGTGATTTTAAAGAGAGACTTAATAATTATTATCTAATACGAAAATACTTTTTAAAAGCCATCTCTGTAAATGCTGTTAAAGTTGCGCGATTTCAGTTATTTCTAATCAGTTTATTGTATTTGAATCCACCAACCAAACTTAATTGTTTTTTTTTAAGTTAAGCACAAAGCTATACAATGGACTATCTGTGCTCTGCCTACTACAGGTATCGAAACCCGGTTTCTAGCGTTGTAAGTCTGTACACATACCGCTGTTCCATTGGGGCCCAAAGTTAATGTTCTATTTTAGATAATTAATACCATATACATACGCATACTATTTCTGTGCTTTAGAAAAAAATAACTGCACTGTTGCAGAAGAAGTATTCATACACTACTCAGTGCTTTTTGTTTTCTCAGGAAGGTAATGAAATACAATATAAGAGAAGACAATTTTTAAGTTATTTAATGGAAAGAGAAGTGTGTAGAAGGGTGGGTCACACTTACAGGGTGAATTTTTTCTATGCAGAATCAAAATGATCCTGGTGGGAAAAATTTCCTAGTAACTAGAAATCTGCTGTGGTGAAATTACATCCTCTAGCGTTATGTTTTGAGGGCCCACAGTAGCCTTAAAGATTATATGTATGCGTGTGTATTGGATATGTTACATAACACGTAAGTAAACATACAGTTCTTTGCTGGTTAAAACATGTAGGCTGTCAAAATTACGCAGAACTCACCTGGAAAGGTAAGTGCAGAATAAGTTCCACCCGGCTTTGCCCAACCACCTAACCACTAAGAGCTATACTAGTTTATTTTTTGCTTGTACTGGAATCAGATTTTGAGTCACATTTCTTGATTCAGTTATTGTGCATATAAATCCATCTAATTGTTTCTGATAATGATGCCTCAGTCACGAGATTAACTCATCTTTCAACAGCCTGTGTATGGCAGGGAATTTTGTAAACTGAACTTTTGGGTTTTTTGGGTCAACAATACAACTTCTCAGAAATATTTCATCAATGTTTCTAGTATCTGTGCTCCGGGTCCCAAGTCATGAGGTTGATGTAATCAATTGTATCTAAATTCAGTTCAGTGGTCCTAGATTTCTGCAGATCCTTAGAGAGCTCCATTCTTGCTGTCAAGATCATCCTTAGTACAAATATGCCGTCTTTCATCTGTCAACATGGCTAAAAGCATTTTCAGGATGTACGAAGTAGGCATTCTATAGAATGACAGGGTCAGTAATTGCTGTTATATCATCCCTGACATAGTGGGAGCTTTTGATCAGGAGAAAAAAATGTCAGGTTCGTTCTGTGCAAGATGATTGAGATTCGGCTGTAAACGAAACTGAAACATATATTCGACAACATAAGTCGCAAATGTCATTAGGTTTTCTAATGGGTTTGCATAGAGCTGAAGAATTCTATTTGCAACTGTCACCCACTGAGAATGACTAATAGGCCATATTTTTCTTGACTCAAGGGCATCTGAGCAATGCCCTGATGTAACTGCTTGTGCTATTTCATACAAATATTTCAGATCGCTGTTCAAATTACGGAAATTAAATTTTGGCAAATCAGAACCTGTGATAGGCTGTAAATCAAAACTTCAGGGATGTGTAATGCCATCAGAACCTTCCCTTTTGGCCCTGAAAATGCATTGGTGTTAAGAGTTTCACCAACGACTTCTTCAAGTAAATTATGGAGGGGAGGTTATTTCATGTGTAGTAAACATCAGCCATTGAAGTGTTTCTTGAGATGAATCTCTAGGCATCGGATTGTTCTACTGTTTGTAACTGCATTTATATTTGTTCAATTACACCCTACTGCCAAAAAACTGTCAACCTGAGCATCATTGGATGTGAAAAAGTCAATTATATTCATTTGTTGGGATTTTGCACTTGAAACAGGAGGCGCAATGGGGCCAATATTCCAGGGTCCAAGTTCTTCAACAAGAGCTACATGTTCTTACATGGATGTTGACAGATGATACATTTCTTTTCATTTTTCTTGGACTCGAGTTCTGTCTTGCCTTCTATTAAAGTATGAAGAAGGTCTCTTTGACCTTGACCTTGGACAATCTGTTCTCAGAAACCTAAACATTTTCTTTGTACCAGTGAAAGATTTCAAGGTCATTGTGGACCCTCAGTATATTAAGCTATGGCTTTTAAATATTCACAGCATAACTTTCTTACAAAGAGATAGTTTTTAATACCCTCGCCATTTCAAAATTCGGACTTTCAGTTTTTGACCTACACTAATGACTCCCCAGAGGCACAGTGGTAAGTCTGCGGACTTATAGCACTAAAAATCGGGTTTCGATATCCGTGGTTGGCCCTGCACAGATAGCCCATTGTGTAGTTTTGCGCTTAACTACAACCAACCAACCAACAACCTACCCTAGTGTGTAGTGACCATGCTTCATAATATATATTGTTACGACATCGGAGGTCACGTGACGCTAGTATCACCCCACAAGCTTCTCGAACATTCACGTCCTTTCCTGAAATATCGGGAGTTTACTAGATTTCGGTATTCTTTTATATATAAGACGGTCACAACGTGACGGCAATAATGTAATGAGTAATTGAATGTATGCGGACAGAGAATATTGTTGGGCACGTGAGACGTTCTTGTGAGTTATAGCGTTGGTTATACCGTGACTGTTGAAATTAAGTGTATTACAAAGTTGTATTCAGAAAGAATAAACCAGTTTTATTTAAGAAAGGACTTGTATCGTTAGAGTTTCTTCGGAAATAATTTTTACGGAAATTAACTAACGAACGGAGACGTAACAAATTGGTGTCAGAGAGTGGGACGGAAAACAAAAATAAAAAAAAAATGGAAACGAGAGGCAACAAATCAAACTACAGCTTAGCAGATCTGATGGCAGCAATACAAGAACAGCAAAAGAAA